TTACAGCCCCCCAACCAAAGGTTGTTTTTTTGTTAGCTGAAACTGATTATAGCAGATAGATAGCTAGATAGATACAGGGGTACAAATACATTATTCAGTCTCATCTAAATTCCTTTCACTATAAGCTGTTGAATGAACACAGTTCGTTTTAGGATTAGAGAGTGGGGAGTGAGCAATATTGCTTCCCCCTTGAAAGATATGTAAGAACTTCATAACCTCTGCTCAGACCTTCTCCTATTGCCTTTTATCTATCAGTTATACATAATACCTAAGCATTTTGCATTTTTCTTCAGTTTTCTTGCCTCATCTTCAGAATAAGGACTAGATTTTGCAAGCAATGTTTAAATTTGGGCTCATTGTAAACATGTGGAGAATATTCTGGGTGGGTTAGACACAGGCTTGCCTTTCCATAATTTTTGGATTCCTTCTATTCAGGCCAAAAACAAAGACTCTGCAGAAGCTGTTACTAAGGGAAAAGGAGAGAAGTGGGTGAATATAATTTTTTTTATTTGCTGGGTTCCCGATTCTGCCTACCCCCCGCCCAAAAAAAAATCAAGAAGGTGATCCAACTGCGTAGAGCAGGCTTTAAGTGGGCTGTAGGAGAACCAGCAAAAAATTGTTCCCCTTCTTCTAGAGGAACATCTCATGAACAGAGTTCTCTACTATGAGTACTCTGGATCCAACCCACTAAAATGATAAATTTATGGACAGCTGTGACAAGCTCCTTGTTTCCCAAGGGCAAGTCTCACAAAAGAGTTTCTCATAAAAGTTTCTTGGAAGGTTGGGAAGCAATGCAAGAATAAATAAATAACCAATTTGCTATAAATGAAATATCATGATAGCAATAATGACGATGGATAAATCAGGAAGAAATGAAATTTGTTGCTGTTAATATTATAAAATAATAATAGTGCATAAATCAAAAATCAATTTGCTATGAATGAAATATATCATTATTATTAATTGTTGTTGTTGCTACAGCAGTGACCAGAGAAATAATGACCATTGGGAGCAGCACAGAAAGAATAAACGCCATGCTGTACCTGTAGCAATGAAACACATTTATCTGCCCCACTTGCAATAAAAAATGTCTCTCCTGTATTGGTCTCACAGCAGGCACTGTAACTCTCCAGGGGTTTGACTTTATCCCCAAACATGTATTCTTCCATTCGCTCTCGATAAAGGTGGATGCAAAGTCCAATTAAAAACCACAGCAATACCAATAAAAATGCAACAGTTGTCTGCAGACTCATTGGCTGTCCAGTGTGTTGCACTGACTAGTGGAGATCAGTGCAGGAACTGCTCACTGGGTCTGAGGTAAGCTCAGAGTGACATGACCATTTCTGAAGAATGCTGTCTGCTGACTGTGAGATAAAGTAAACCTTGTCAGGCCAGGAAGGAAGCCCAACTCTGATGCATCTTAAGTATAGCCAAGGTTATTTCATACAAGGCTATGATGCCTGCTAAGTTGAGAGTTAACACCGCTCATTTGTATAACCACTAAGTAATGACACCGAGCAATTATTAAATCATAAGTGATGAGACAAAGTTAATGAATAGGTAGGTGTATGTAATGAAACAACTTGCTTATGTTAATGGATTACAAGAATACATCTCTAGAAATAATTAGATTAGTTTTCATCTCCTGTATTGGCAGTATTTCTTTGCTTCACAGTCCCATCACTCCAAGCCTTGTCAGTGATACCATGGCAGAATTCATTACACCGATAAAGTACACCGTAAGTCCAGTCTAGCTGCTATGCTTGATAAGGATAGCTCACTGGACTAACAGCATTTAGTGCAACTACCCTAGTTTGATCTGCATGCTCAGTGCAAATGACATTAGACGTTTGGGAGCTTGTTAGAGAAAACAATTGCCAGAACGTAATTAGTAATGGTGAAACTTTCAGTGGTGTTTAATTGATAGAGAGTGTGGGCCACAAATAGCTCTGACAACTCTGCTTCCAATTAAACAGTCTTAATGAATGTCTGATTAAGTGTTTTGTGGATCACACTGAAAGGAGAGGAAACTCTACAAAGCAGATACATCTGGCAGTGAATGGAGTCCTGTATGTCTCCCATAGACTCATCCTTGTGCTTTATGTTATGACAATGGTGGGTAGCGTACTAGTTCAAATGGGCTTTTTATAGTTGGTTTAAGTGCTTTTGCTACATGAGAGTTTAAATTGTATTTGTACATTCTTAATGTTACTTTAAGCCGCTCAGAGAAATAAGTATTACAACTTGAACAAACAAATATTAGCTTTTAAGGATTGGTAAGAACTGATCATCTTGTTTTGGTCTCTGCTTAATGGCACCCTTACATTGAAAAGGATATCCAGTGTTCTACAGCTCCCAGTTACAAATGGAATCTAGAATGGGGCCAAGCACTGTGCAAGAGCACATACATTGCATGCAGAGGATCCTAGGTTTAATACCACACATTTCCAGCTTAGGAAGGAGAGCTGGGAAAGATCTCTACAAGACACCATTGAAATCTGATGCAAGGCAGCACTGAGATATATGGTTCAATGGTCAGACTTAGCCAATATAAGGCAACTCCATACGGGCCAAATATGTTTTGAATTTAAAACCTAAAAGAGCCTGCTGGATTAGATCAAAGGCGTATATAGGCAAGCATCATGTCCTCACATTGGCCAACCAGATGCCTATGGGGAGTCCACAGCAGGACCTGAGTAGAAAAACACTCCCTGCATGGAATTCCCAGCCACAACTATTCAAAGGCATACTGTCTCTGAAAGTAGAACACAGCCATTGATAGCTATGAATTTGTGCTCTGTACTGCTTATCGTGTCTGTCTTAAACATCATATTTCTGTGTCCCTTACCCTTTTGTTTTCTTTCCTCTTGTGTTACAGGTTTCCTCTTCTTGCTTTTCCGTGTATACTAGTATGTGTTTTCCAAATGCTGTATATGCAAACTTATTAATAAAACAATAATTCTTTAAAATGAGCAAAAAAAAAACAATCAAGATTTCACTGAAATGAGGAAAAGCAGAGCTTCATTTTGCACAGAACAGTCCAGGAGCCAAAATGCAGATCAAACAACTCCATGATGGATCAGATATTTAAAGGGACGGGGAAGAAATCAAATCAGTTTGCATTTAAAGGTGAATATCTTATTTGTACTTTTGGAGACAACACACAAACCTAAACTCTGATTTCCATAAAATTTGCACTTCTGAGTTTTGCAATGCAGTTCTCCATCCAAGTAATGTGTACAAAACAGCATACACGATGGTAAAGTATGACTAAAACACACTTTACCATAGGCAATAAGACATTAGTAATCTCTCTCTCTTGAAAGTTTGAAAGCTATTTGGAATTAACTCCACTAATGAAATCATTCTACAGCATAAAATCCCTGCCCTGTGTTGATAGTGGATTAATTCAAGTGCCTAATACACTTGTGAGCTATTATTAAATAAAACACCAACAATGGCAAACAAGAGCCGTACAGGAAATCACTAGCTCCTTGTCTCACATTGTCATTGGGGGTCTGAGTTTTTCAGCCCAATTTAACAGCACCAAAGTGAATGCCTCACAGAAAGGAGCTTCTCTTTTCCTGCCGTCTTGTTTCTTAAGACTGCAATTGTCTGATTGCAGTAATGCTTTCAGTAATGCTTTACATGCAAATGCTGGTTCACAAATGCTGGCAAATGCGACTAAATGCTTCTGACCCATTTTTAAATGCCTTTTGGTGCACTGCAGCATAGATAATTTAGACCCGAGCTGTTCTAAGTGCATACAATTAGATTTGATTTAGGTCAGCCACCCTACTGTAGGCCAATGAAACATTTTCACTTTAAATCAAAAAAGAATAACCTCTGGTGCCAAACCTGTCATCATAATGCGGATGCGCTGTAATTCCTTTGTTTGTGATATGGGGGGAAAAAAAGATTTGGATCTATCAATCCTGGAGCAATTGTCTGGATTCCGTACTTTCCTGCCTTATTTACTGCAAAATTGCCTCTGTGATTAGGTTCTTCTCTTGCCCTATAATCTTTTGGTTATATCCTCAGGATCCTTGTCACTACTAAACTGGATTAAGTCCTTGATTCCAGATGAGATAAGAATAAGAAGCTTGAGGATATAAAGATAAACATGTAGTTGTGTGTGTTTGTGTGTGTGTGTGTGTGTGTGTGTGTGTGTTTCAGAAGGTGAAATGTGTGAAGCTTTAAGCACACAGAGATGTGGGACAAATATAGCTTGGCAGCTGTGTTAAGCTTGTAAAGACTGACAGAATCCAGTAAAGGAAGTAAGCCTTTTAACTGGTGGTTTGGACCATTTATATAGCACTGGATAATTTTTTTTTTTAATCTTTTCCTGTGCCTTAAGGACAATGACCTTGGCTGATAGAATGAGCCAAGCAACACAGCTCTGGCACTTTTCCTAAAATCCTTCTACAAAGTGACAGCCTGGTTAAAAGCAGAATCAGGAGGCGGGAGAGGAAGCAACAGCAGCAACTACCAAGAAAAGGGCAAAGATCATCTACTCATTCCATATTCATAGTTTTGTTTCTATATCCCTTTTGTCACCACATTTGCACATACACAACAACAGAGTTTGGGATAAATGACAACAGCAAGAACATACAAATGCAAGGAGAGTCCTGCTTGATCACGCTAAAGGACCGTCCACTCCAGCATCCTGTTTTCCTAGTGGCTAAACAGATGCCTGTGAAAAGCCTGGACGCAGGACAAGCAAGACTTTCCTGAGCATGATCCTAAGCAACTGCAGTTTCTAATAGTGGAAACAGCACATAGCCACCATGACAAGCGGCCATTTGGCTCACCCTCCGGGAATGTGTCTAATCTCCCTTCAAAATTGTCCAAGAGGAAGGCTTCCACTACATTTCGTAGCAGAACAATTCTGCAGTTTTACTATGTGTAGTGTGAAGAAGTACTTCCTTTTGTCTGACTGAATAGCCCAATGTTCTTTGGAAGATCTCAGTTTCAAATATCATACAACAGGGAGAAAATCTTCTCTTTCTGCTTTTACTCAGGGAATATTATAGTGAGACAAGAAACCCACAAGGACATGAAGAAATACCTTACAGCCCCTTGCTGACCAACTTGAATTATTCATATATTGTCGTGGGCTAATAAATACATGTAAGTTGTAATCCTAACCATCACTAGCTTGGGTACTGCATGTAGAAAGCCAATGAGTGAATCTGTTGCCCTCCAACTGTTATTGGGAAACAACTCCCATCATCCCTGTCAAGTGACTGCTGACTGTGGCTGATAGGAATTGGAGTCCAACAACATCTGAGGGGTTGTAGGTTCTGGAACATATTGTTCACCTCACCATCCACCACTGCTGCCTGCAGGGCCCACTACTGCTGCCATCCCTCAAAGCTGACACCCAGGTTTGCCTACTGGCCAAGGCCATGGAGCCAGCCACTGTCAGCTGCTGCCTCAGGGTGCTGCTGCCATTTTTGCCATAGCAAACTCTCTTTAAAGTTTAGCATTCATCTGAACCTTATTTACCACTCCAGTAAAGAGGCTGGCGGCACTCCGAAAACCGGGGCTTTCTGAGGTTGTCTGAGATGTGGAGTCTTTCCCAGAGGAAGGCATTATGAAGTGAGTTTGTCCCGGAACACATATTCACCGCCTCTTTGCCACAACAGCAAAAACTGTTTGAATATTGTTTACAACAAGCCTGAAAATGAAATTTACCACTACACCAAAGCAACTGGCAGCACTCTTGTGGGGCTCATCAGAAAGCATGCAGACCCCCAGCAGACACACACACACTGATTAGGTATTTCTTTACCTGCCCTCTGCTCCCATCCATCCTTGTTATACATGCCAACCTTCCTGTTTTTCCTGTTAAATTTCTCTTTTGTAATAATAATAATAATAAGTAGTAGTAGTAATAGTAGTAGTAGTAGAAGAAGAAGAAGAAGTAGTAGTAGTACAATTTATTGCCTGCTCTTCACTCCAGGGTTCTAGGATGGATTACAAACTCTTACAACACTGTATCACTACAGAGAGTAGACAGACCTGTGTTTACAGTGTATATGCAGAAGTTTTTTGGTTTTCTTCCGGCGGCATCATTCATTAATGTAAGAGAAGGTAGGTGATTTTTGCTGATCCCCTTGAAGACTGGGAGCCTGCCTCTCCCCCCCCCCAAAAAAAACCCCCAGTATGGAAGGGGGCAAGGGGGCAAGAGGAATTTGTGGAACTTGCTTATGTTAGCAGGCACTTCCATGGGATCGAAAGCTATTCAATGAGCAGAACAGCAGCACCAAATTTCACCCATAGTATCAAGATACTTATCATTGAAAAGTACAGAAGGTCACATCTGCTTGTGAAGTTGGTTATAAAATCATTTTACAGATTAGCCTGTAGGTATCTCCTACCTTGCAAAGATTTAAATGCATAATGGTTAATTATAAAACATTATTTTGTGCACATTAAAAATAGCATGTAATTTATAGTCTTGTACTATTGGAATAGGGCCAAAAAGTCATAAACCTCCAAGAACGTTTGGGATAGCAGTCAAAGTGAAAGGCACATTTTGTGATTAGATGGGCTGAAGCTTCCAACTTCTTGTCATTCTAGAGAATAAAAGGGAAATGCAAAGAAAAAGAAGGCACAGATTAGGTAATTCTTATTCTTAAAGCAATGGCATCTAGTTTATGCATGAAAATTCAGCAAAGCTACATCTGTGCATGCTTGATTTTGCATGCTTGGTTTTGCATTGTTTCCTATTCAGCTGTAAATGTTTTAATCCAATGTTTCTATGGAATATAGTTGTAGATTCTACTTTATCTACAAATTCTTTGATTTAGGTCCATTTTATTCCACCAAGACCATTGAACTACAGTCATACACTGGTTTTCGAACAGCTTAGTTCTCGAACGTTTTGGCTCCCAAACGCCGCAAACCTGGAAGTGACTGTTTCAGTTTGCAAACTATTTTGGGAAGCTGAACATCCAATGGGGTTTCTGTGGCTTATGATGGGCTGCAGAAGCTTCTTGCAGCGAATCAGAAGCCATGCTTTGGTTTCTGAACATTTTGGAAGTCGAACGGACTTTTGGAACAGATGCTGTTCAACTTTCAATGTATGACTGTAATGGAAACCCTCCGAAGTGCAACATAACAGCACAGTATAACATATCAATACTGGTATGGCAACATTCCCATTGGACCCACAGGTTTACGACCACTGGAAGCAGCAATGAAGCTTTTTGGTTTTACAAGTTACCAAAAAGCAGACCTATTGCTGGCCTGTGCCACCTTGCACCAATCAGATAACCCTCTAAGCAGCCTACTCCCCCAAAACAGTATTAAGAAATTTACCCAAACACAAAAATCCCTTTTATGTCCACCAGATATTGCTCGCTCTAGAAAAGCAGGGGGCTGTTTTAGCTGAGACTTAGTTTCAGCCCAAATGTTTACTTAGGACTCAGGACTGTCTCTCCACCCACAGTTAGATCTAGTCACAGGACCATGAAATATTTTGGTAGGTACTTGCTCCTATAGTACTTATCAATTCTAAAGTTGTTTTAACCAATCCATGCTCAACTTAGACAATTCTCTGCATTTTCCTGGCCCCTAAAGCACAAGAGGCCATTCTTTTGGAGTATAGTGAAACTTTTGGAATTGTTCTGGACTGACAGTTCTAGTATGGGGTGCATCAGGGAATCTCCCTCTCTTTGTCAGGTTGATAGCAATTCCCAAATATCATCAAAGATTGGGGTGATGGTAGCAATGGATTATTTCTGCATGGCACCTCCCTGCTTTGATAGGCACAAAATGATGTAGACGGATTCAACATGGCAGCTTAATTTTACATGTCAGCTCTTCTCATGCCTAGTGTGACTGACATACAAACTTGATTCAAATAATCAAACATTGGACTAATAAGCAAATAACAATGCACTACAAAATTTGGTAACCATATAAAATATTCCACAGAATATTCATTTGTGTTTTGAGATTGTTTCTTACAATCAAGTGGTAGAATAATTATAATGAAATAAAAATAAGCTTGGCCTTAAGAACATTGTATGATTTGTCTGCCCTTAAGAGCTCTATCTAGTCTGCTAATAGCAAGTGGTAATGGACTCCTTTTGATAAAGACAATGTGCACACATTTCTTATTTAAAACCCATAATCCCTTGAACTTGGGCTCACAGTGAGAGAAAGTGTTGCACTCGGGTTCATTTGAAAGGAAGCACTGAAATAATCTGCCTTGTTTCTGGATTCAGAAGCACTTGACGGATGTGAGTATACCCCAGTTTACTGCAAGTGCACACAGGACTGCAACCCTAGTTAATTAAAAACTCACACAAACATGAATTCTTCCCACCAACATGAACCCCCCGACCCCATTTCTTGCCACAAAAACAGCAAAGAATACTTTTGCTGTTCAGGTTAATCAGTATGTTTTTATGGGACAAACATTTCAAAGCCCTCCCAGAAAACCATTTAAGCAGATGCTTGGAAATTTACTAGCATACTTTCTTTTGGTAAGTAGTAAAATATTGGTGGGTTAAAAAAAAAAAAGATTTAAGAATAAACTACAAGTCTTAACACCAAGATTGCTTCTTAATTTTATGTTTGTGCTTGGGTCTGCTTCCTAATTCCTAGTGGTCTCGTTGGATTCTGCCCCCCACCACTACCCCAGCTTTAGTGTTATAAACTATCAAAGCAAAAGGTACAATTTGAAACCATTAAATCACTATGAGGTACACCACTGATTTTAACAACACATGGCTTACACCTAAACTGCCTAAGAATTAATGACACTACTTACGTTTCAGTCTTACATAATCCAAATAAATTACTTTTGCGTATTGTATTAAAACCTTGCTTTTCAACATAACTGGTGTGTGTGTGTCTCTGTGTGTGTATGTATGTATGTATGTATGTGTGTTTATATGATCTCCCAAACTGTAGTCAAATAGATTATTACTACTTGAAATTAAGGAACTATTTTTAGATCTACAGTAGGTCAACATCCACAGGTGTGAGCAGGTTGACATCATCTTGATTACAATATGCTTTGCCTTTGTGGAAAGAAACAAGTCTATCTAAAAATAGATGATAAAGTCTAGGAGTGTCCTCCCCCTGGAAGTTCAGTGGTGCAGTAGACCTAAGCCCTATTCAAGCATTCAGCTTGATCATGTAAGGATTCATGTAGGCCACCCTTGAACTCACTGCTTCCCTCCATTCCTTGTCTTTAGTGCAAGAGTCTGAAGAGGGCTTCTAATATGAATATGGCTAGAAGCCCCTACAGAACTTTGTGCGGAACACACAAAGGCTGGGGTGGGAGGGGTGTGCTCAGCACAGAGGATGAGGAGAGCAGCACAAGTGCACATGGCCCTATACAAACATTCAACTCTCTTGTGATCAGGCTGAATGAGAGGCAACAGAAGATTCAGGTTAGGGGTTATTTTTATGCAGAAGAGGAAAGGAATAACCCACTCTGACAACAGTCCCAATCCAAGTCCTCCCCTCACACTCCTCTAGCAAGCTTTTAAAACAGTAGGAGACCAAATCCCAGATCTCTCACAATCCCCTCTAGTTGTACCCTCAAAAATGAATCTTTGCTGATGGCCTTGGGTCAGCCACTGTCTCTCAACCTAACTATCTGAAACAGTCCTTGTAAAGATAAAACGGGCAAGGGGAGTTAATGGATTATAAAATTGGCAGCGGATGCAGATGAATTATGTGCAGTCTGAAACACAGTGGGATACTTTCCTTCTTTCTCTATCCCATAATCTCCTTTTGGGAGAAACCAGGATATGGCATGGAGCTCTTGTAAATGGCAAATACAAACAAGTATAATTTCTTATGCCCATTTTACCCACAGATACTTTAACTCCTTAATTTAAAGAAGTTGCACTTTAAAAAGCAACAACCAAGAGGATCTCTGTGTCTCATCCATGAAATAACGTTGTTTCCCATGAATCTGAGTTAATGGTTCAGGCTGCATCATCTGTTCTGCTCCAGAGTAACCCTCTTCATTATGTAAATAATATCCATGAACTTTGGAAATGAATTGTGTTACTGGTTCCATTTCCTATGCTCTGGGCCAAATGAAAACACAGGCTTGTTATAATGTAAACATTGGCTTGTAATAAATGTGGAACATTGTTTTAGTTTATCCATTTCTGAAGTAGCCTCCTTCAACTTCATCATCCTGCAAGGAAAAGTGAATTGGCAGAGATGCAATTAAGCAACTGGCATGGAAGATAAGTACTACACATCCTCTAGAAAGTCTACTCCTGCTCATTGTCCTGAACCCCTGGCCAACTTGGAAGCAAGTTAGTACGTCATGTCCAAAGTCCAAAGTCTGGGGGTCAAGCCACACAAGCAAAGTCCCAAGACCAAAATCCAAGAAACGCAGTCCAAAGTCAAACCAAGTAGCCAAGTCTGAAGTCCAGAAGTAACAATATATTCCAGTGTCAAACCCAAAGTACAATCTCATAGAGGTCCAGGAGCATCCAAGCTGAGGTCCATCAACATGCGTAGTTGAGCAGACACAGCCCCTCAGCTCTGCTTCCCTTTTGTACATTACATGCTGATTGCAGCATCTTGGCTTGATGAGGCATGTGACCCTCACCTGTTCCAAGTCTACTCCAGCTGAGGAATCACTTCCCCCTCAGAGTTAGTGACCACTACCTGGCTAGCTAGGGAGTTGGGATGTGGGCTCTTGCTTGCCTCAGTCTCCTAGAGCACACCTCCCACTGCTCCCTATGCTTCGGAGCCCGCAGTGTTCATGGGGACAGGGGATCCTTTGGCTCTGGTGATGGGTCCTGCTGCTCTGGTTCCCATGCATTGACCTCCATCCCCTCGCCATCCTCCATCACCCTGTATTTCCTTCCCCATCCTCTGCTTGCCCCAGTGTGTCCCAGTCCTGGCTACACCCCTTGCTGGGATCCTCTTCGTCTTTCATCCTTGTCATCCTGCCTGCTCATGACACTCATTAGGATTCCTTTTTCTTCTTCTCCCACTAAGATACTCTCCTGTTCCAGCCTCCTTCCACTGCTGCTCCACACCAACACATCCACTACTGTCTCAAAACACCATATTTTGTGGAGATCCAACATACAGCCTATTATTTTTAAAGCTCTCCAATGTGACAAATGTCTCTCTGTGTGTGTGTGTGTTTAACAATCTGAAATAGACTTCAGATTCATCACTCAAGTGCTGTCATACAATAACTGGCACATTCAGGGCAGGTTGCAAAGAGCTTATTTTAACAATGGAACATACAAGTACTACAGCTATCCACTGATAAAATGTAATTAAGGACTTGTCCTTAAAACACATCCTGAAGCATAATAGAAGAGTTCAAGGCTGACTGGGCTGATCCAAGCTTGCAGCTCCAGCAGCTCACTGTATCTATGCTAGCAGCACATTGGCTAAGCCTGAAGATGGAAGATAGGGTTTTGTTTTCTTTTTTTAAAAGAACTGAAGGTGCCATGATAAAACTATCATTGATCATTGTATGCACACTTTTTTTTTGTCATCTTACCAGCATATGCTCCAGTTGAATCTATTTGCCAGGGCCATTCCTTTTATTTTCTCATTCCTGTCCATGGTAAATTACTGTTTGGAAAAGGATTTATGAATGTCTTTTGAAAATGTTAGTGTGCACACAGGACTTGATATTTGTGCAGAGTAAATAAACACAGTTTGCATCCAAGAGAACATAATAAGAGTCTCCTGGATCGGGCACAGCCAGCATGACTAGGAGCCAGCGATAGCTTTATCCTCCAATCCTGATTTTTCTCTCTCCTCTTTTAAAGTCCTCCAACTTGGTGGCCATCACTACCTCTTGTTGGAGAGAATGCCAAAGTTTAACTATACTATGCATGAAGAAGTATTTCCTTTTTTCTGTCCTGAATATGTCATCATTAAGCTTCATTGGATATCCATGTCTTCTAGTGTCATGAGACAGGGACAACCCTAATCTCTATCTACTTTCCCTACGCCATGCATAGCATTATATACCTCTACAATGTCCCTCTTGCTCACTTTTTAGTTTCGAGAAAGTCCCAAATACTGCAACCTTTGCTCATAGGGGAGTAACCCCATTCCCTTGATAATGTTGGTTGCCCTTTTCTGAACCTTACTTATGTCCATTGATTTCAGTGGATCTACTCTGAGTATGACTAACACCCAATATCATCTATTGGGTGGTAGTCAAGTAATTTATATTCAGGGTAGACATGTTGAGATTATGGACCTAAGTTACTCATGTCCATTACTTTCAGTGGGTTTCCTTTGGGTATGACCAGCACTGGACACAACCTATAATTTATTGGGGGAGAAACAATGTGTTTCTTGGGATATTCTCTGCTGTTTCTGAAATTTTATTAATTTAAGTAGTTCTTCCTTTAACTTATCTTTCACCTGCCCTGCATCATAAAGATCCTAGGGGAGGATACAGCAATAAAATTTGAGAAGCTATTTGAGAAGGCTGGCTCCTCCCCGATGAATTCTTAAATGAACTAAAAACTGGGCACATTTGAGAAAACAATACTATCTCTTCATACCTAGATCAGATGAAGAGAGGACAAAAGAGCAATAAGAACCAAATTATATTCTTTTAAAAATATGTATAATATGACATTGGCCTCTATTTTGTCTGCATATTGAATGATGTTAATCACGTCAGTAATGGACAACTTAATGCTAATAAGCAGGTAAGAAATAATAACTAGCATTTGTGATGAGGTATTCAGAGACATACTGTCTCCAGTAGTGATGGTAGAGCATAGCCATTGGGCCTAGTAGCCACTGATAGTCTTATCCTCTATTTTGTATTTTGTGCGTGCGCACACACACACACACACACACACACGCACACACAAATGGATAAACACAGCAGCCTGCATTTTTTCACTGTCCTTGGGGGCTATCATGAGGAACCCTTGCACTTCAAAATTTACTACTACACTATGGCTGGGGGAGTTTTGGCCCGCTATATATTATTGAACTCCAACTCCCATCAGCCCCATTCAGTATGTCCAGTGACTAGGGATGATGGGTGATGGGAACTGTAGTTCAGAAACATGTGGAGGACTGAAGGTTGCCCAGCCCAGAACTACATCACTGGCTTTTATTCTACTGTAGTTTATAAGCATTTACATATCTGAGATTAGGAGTAAGGAATCCAGGACAGAGACTATTATTTCAATTTGGGCTAGAGTCCTGACACCAAATATTATCCACTCGACATATATTGAAAAATAGTCAATGGGTATGACCTAGTATTCTCTGAGGCAGTAAACCTATGCATGGACTGTACAACTTCAGATGCAGGTTGGTTCTCATTCTCTCTCCCCCCCCTCCCCCAAACGCAAATACTCCCTGCACACAGAAAACTAGAATACATTGACATGCTG